CTGCTGCGGTGGGCCCGGGGGGCTGGTGTAGTCACAGGGCGCTGGTCTCCTGTGCGTAAAGCGGTAACTGGTGCCTTGGGGCGCTGGTTAGGTGGGGAAGTGGGTAAGGGTGGATGGAGGTGTTCCACGTTGGCTACTGGAGTACCGGTATATGGAGAAAAAGGATTTAAGACTGAAAAAAATTCACCTGAGGAGCATGTTAACTTTCCTGCAACCCCCCTGGTGCTGTGGTTGCGCGGTGTGAATCCCAGCTCGGAGGTAGCTGCACCTTTGTGGCCAGAATCGTTCTACCGTAACAAACTTCTCCACGTTCCTGCATGCAGCCCGCGTTCTTTTCTCCACCCACGGAGAGTGGTCTCATGTGGGTAATTAATCACACTGAAGTTGTGTGAAATCATATGGCGATACTTAGACGTTGCACAGAAAGAGTAGTTGGTAAATCAAGTAAACGATTCACTGTCGGGTGTTGGGCTTTCGAGGGTCTGTTCTTATTTCCTGTTGTCTTTTGGAGAAGTTCCCTAATTACATTTGTTCAAATGCAGTTTCCCTATGAATGACAAAAGGCCCAGTGGGGTTTCTGTGTCCTTCTAAGTCATTACATGATCTAATTTAGTGTTATTAAGAATAGCACGTGGTGTCAGTTGATGAGTTCAGAAAACACTGAAAACTTTTTTTTTTTTACTGAATTATGTCTTGGACTAAATTATATGGTTTGGTTTGGTTTTTTTTTTTTTTTTGTTTTTTTTTTTTTAACACGGGGATTAAGTAGGTACACTTCTATAACCATAAGTGTGACCTAGCCTGGTAAATTGTGGTGGTCCAGAGTCATGTGTTATAGGTTAATTTTCTGCAATACTGAAATTATTGTCATTATAGTTTTTCAGTAGTTCATCTAATTTTACTGAACGGTTGTATTTTCTTATTATTCCTTTGTACCTCGATACCCTGTTCTCTAATGCTCACTTACCTTTTTTTTTTTTCCTCCCCTGATCTTCTAGGGTCCCAAAAAGAAAAAAAAGGTAAGCAGTCGGAAACACGCTCTAGATCACATACAGCATTTTGACCCCTTTTGTGTTCATTTAGAGAGTGCGCCAGCTCAACTCTGTTATTTTGGAAATTATATGAGTAAAATTACAAAGCACTTCATGCTGAAATCAAAGTAAGCACCAGTTATCCTGGACTTAATATCTACAAAACAGTGTTTTTCAGTGGATCTGTCATAATAAAGCTGTTGTGATACCCTGATATTATGCGAATGTACTTTTTAAAAAGAAAAAAGATTTTTTTTTTGTTTAATTTTACTTTTTAATCTGTATTTCTGCTGGGCCAGTTGGTTGGGCTCAATCTGGAGCATCTCTCTTATAAGGAGAGACTGCGGGAGCTGAGCCTGTTTAGTCTAGAGGAGAAAAGACTGAGAAGGGATCTCATCCATGCAGATCAGTACCTCAAAGGCGGGTGCAGGGAGGATGGTGCCAGACTCTTTCCAGTGATGCCCAGTGACAGGACAAGGAGCAAAACACAAGAAGTTTCACCTCAACATGAGGGAGAACTCTACACTGAGGGTGGCAGAGCTCTGGAACAGGCTGCTCAGGGGGTTGTGGAGTCTCCCTCTCTGGAGACATTCAAAACCTGCCTGGATGCATTCCTGTGTAACCTGCGCTGGGTGACACTGCCTTGGCAGGGGGTTGGACTGGGTGGGCTCCAGAGGTCCCTTCCAACCCTAACGATTCTGTGATTCTGTGAAATTTAGAAGAGGAACAGGCATCTCCAGGGCACTAAGGTTATGTGCCTTTTTCAAGGAGTCTGTGTTCCTGCAGACCTACCAGAGAGGAGGTGGTGAGCACAGCCTCTGTGTGTTTTGCTTGGCAGCTGCTGCCCAGGCAGAGAGCCAGTGTCCTGGCTTTGTGCCACAGGCTGAACACAAAACATGATAGGCTGGGGGGGACAACAGACAGAACTCCACAGGAAACTGTATTGCATAAATTCATTCTGTCAATTATTCTTAATTTGGTGATAACAAAGTTATCCACCCCTCCCCCCCGCCCAGTAGATCCTATTCAAATGTAGTCCTTGGAGAGCTGTGCATCTCAGTTTTGTCAGCACTATGTAAAATCGTAAGAATGTGAAAAGAAATTGACTAAAAAGTGATTATTGAAATAAGCAGGTTTTCCATTTTCACTGAAAAAAAAGTAGTAAAAAATTATTATTTTTGAACTGGAAGGGACTGATTCTTCCTTGAAATCTGAATGGGTAGAATTGTGGGATTTACTGACTGACTTCTAGGAGAATTTTGCAAATAAATGCTTTGGTAACAAATGTGCTAGGATGCACATTAACTCTGGTGGGTGTACATTTGTGGTTGGCACTATCTTTTCACCACTGTTTTTGTTAAGCTTCGTGATAACCTTTGTATTCAAAGTTACATTTATGTACATATTTATTACCATGCAAAGTTAAGTGAATAGCTTTTAAGTAGTTAGATCTGAAAATACACTAGTCAAATCAAAATGTGAAATAACAGTATTTGTAACATGCTTTTTGTGTGATGAATGACAAAGGGCCTCCATAATTATGGAGTTCACTCTCAACTGGGTGACTTAACAATATTTACCAAATTATTAGGAATGCTCGGGTAGAGTGGACAGGAAGACTTTATAATACCATTGTGTTCTTTTGCACCTGTCTGGACTTAAGTCCTCTTTTGTTGCCTCTCCCCATCAGCTTTGTTGGAACTCCTTCTTTATTCCAAGATGGGCACTATGCTACTGTGCTGATTTGGTACTATTCTGTACCTGTTTCTCTGCAGAAGAGAAACATTGGATTCCTAACATTGTTAGTGCGTATTTGCACTGTGATACTGTCCAGTTATATTCTCTTCCTGACACTGTGGATGAAACTCGTACTGGTTTATTTAGTTTACCTTCCCTGAATGAATCCTTGTAAGTCTTTGCCTCTCACCAGTGATGGCATGGGGACTTGGGATTCAGCTCTCTGATGTGCAACATCCAGGTTAGATGCCTAGGCAGAAGATGTGTCTTCTCTTTTCACATTGCCTCTCCCTCTGAACCCATTTGCATTCTATATTTTCTGGTTTAAAACAGTAAACATTTCATTTCATTTGATTTGTCTTTCGTGTGCATCAGTGGCAGAGTAGCATTGTTCAGCCAGTACATAGATACACCACCAAATGCAAGTAGTTTGTTTTCCTCGATGTCTTTTGTCATCCATACCTTTGCTTTTAACCCTAGTTTACGCTGTTGTCTCTGTTTTCTCCGTATGCCAGAGCCTATGCAGAATATCATGGTTTATTTTCTCATGTGTACAAAACCCAACCTTATCTGTCCCATTCATAAACATTAATGTTGGCTGTGAATTGATTTTGTAGTTCAATACAGAATCAGCCTCCTTGTTTTTGTAAGCTCCGCAAGCATGTTTTGGTTCATGGCTCATCTTTCTCCACCACCGCTTTGTTCTTTTCATTTTTGCTGTTTAAAAAAATTGGCTGTATTCAGGCCTTGTCTTTGCAGCATCTGCCTTCAGGAACAGCACTTCTCCCTGATACCATTCCATCCACCCCAGGTGGACTCAAGGCACAATGGCTGCAATTGTATTACATATGCAACGGCAATGTTACCTGTGTAAACACTGAGTAAAACTGAATAAAGATAATTTAGTCGTTAGTAACTGTTCTTGGTGAGGACTGCAATCTTAGGATGCTTTTGCTACTTCATTGACAGGAAACCATCTTGGTAAAAACAGATCTTTTGACTTAGATTTTTTGAGTACTAATGTGCTAGTTTTTGCTTTTATGTGTCTTTGATTTTGCATCTGTGGGTCTTTAAGTGCTGTTTTATAGTGACAGTGCTGATTGTACACATTTGATTAAGCATCCCAAAACTGAAATGCAAATACCAAAGGAACACAAAACCAAGGTTAAATTGTAATAAAAAATAAAAACTCATCCATGTTTTTGGTTTGGGTTTGTTTTTTTTCTGGCAAGGAAGGAAAACCATGAGGGACCATTAGTAACATCTTCAAATCCAAAGAAAATTATGTTTGCCACATTG